CCACGTAACAACGAAACCACATGCGCAGAGTACTTACATCATCCGCAATGCATGATCTGGTTCCTATCTGTGCAGGTGATAACCTTCAGCAGTTACTTTCAGCAGTGCTGTATCGCCTGATAGCCTAGTGACCAGCTTCATGACTGCCTTTATGCTGTTTTTTTCCTTGGTTCAAACGATTCTTACGAAAGAAGCACTTGATGAAGCTTTATCCCTTAGCACCAGTTCTAAATGGCACTTCCAGTGATTTCACTAATTATCAGAACTCGACTGTTTTCCTCTCCACGGTGGGCCAGCAACGCCAAACTGCATATATTAACACATAGATCATTTCTGGCCCGCGTCCTCATCCAGTCTCCTGGCTAGGGATATTCATTGTTTATATCTCTAAAATTCCTACAACACTTCATCTGTTTCAAGACTTCCTTGGTGTCTGTTGAGCATGGCCACCTTGTGCAGCGGACATCTCATCGACCATGATAATATCTTTTATAAATTTGTCTAAAACGAAAAGCTAGCAAAATTAAAATGAATAGTAATTGTTGAAATCAGTGAGCAAAGTGCCAGGATTGAGAATTGTTGACTGGCGAGACATCGCCTTTGGTGGGGGAAGTCGACGATTACATCACTTCGGCAACAGAGGGGGAGAGAGAGAGCTGCCGCTCGGATTTGAAGGCCAAAAATGCATATCATCGTAAGGTGCCGAAGCGACACGATGGGGGGGTTATCTCTATGTGTCATCTGCCCGCAACATTGTCGCAGTCACCCCAAAATGAGATCTAGCGCAGCAGATCCCTCCCGATTATTACGCAAATTTTACTGCCCCAAAGAAACGATTCATTAAAAAGTTTTCCGACGAAAAAAATCGTAAGATTCTTTTCATGAGAAAAATCCGTAATACTAAACTTACGATTGCCTAGTTCATTAAAATGCAGCCACATCGGGGGTTTTTCGTTGTGATGCTCTTTCGGTCTTTTTTATCCTTTTTTTTTCTGCCAGTGCTTCAGGCTGCATCGATACACCTACGGAATTAAATCCAAGCAGATCAAGCCAGGGCAATATCACATCCCACTAAGCACTCTGTGAGCGTGATTGCGCATGGCTTCAAGGTGGCGATAGCTTTGGGCAAGAGTGGCCCTTCGGAAGTAATATTAAGAACGTGGTTCGCTTAACCCGAACGTGTTGTTGTTAATTTTATGACTGAATAAGGCTGAATTCAAAATTTAACTCACTGCGTGAAAAATTGTAGCGGGAAGCTCGGCGAAGAGCTCAACAACTTTCAAGCGAAGAGGAAGATTGGTCATCATCACCGGCATCATCGTTATCGACTTCGACGTCGCAATCTTCGGGGCCTCGACCTTATCAGCTGCCAACTCAGACACGTCTGAAAATCACCATTCTGAAATGGAATGTTCGTTTCAGCTTAATTTTGCATTTTTTTGAAAGTTTCTCTCTTTCTGATTTTCTTTTGCATATCTGCCTTGCAAATTAGCTACATACCCTTCAGTATATGGCGGGTAAAAGACTGTACAAATGATTCCCGCTGCTACCCCGCATGCATTGCTCGACCTGCGTTTACAGCTAAGGGATGAAACACAGACTACATCATAAAATGCCCTCCGGCACATGATACTTAAGACCAATCCTTCTACTGTTTCATATAAGAATATTTTCTATATTTGTTAGGAATACTAGCTGGATTAGCTGTAATTTATAGTCTGATTATTTATCTATGAAGTGGTCAACTTTTCCAATTGTTTTGACCAGTGCTGCATAGCCTGATGGTCATCCTACTGGCAACCCTTTAAAATATGCCTGAGGGGGGGGGGGTTGAAATTACTGAAAGTTTTGATAATATCTTTTTTTTTTCAAATTTTATGAAATTTTTTAAGGTGGCGGCAAAGTGGCAGTGGACTATTGGTGAGGGGCCGTGTGGCATCTGTCGTGAACCGTTCGAAGCGTGCTGTGTTTCATGCAAAACACCTGGCGATGAATGTCCACTTGTAAGTTTTTTTTTCCCTTTTTTTTGTCTGGATTTTCAGTACGCATACTACAATATGGCACACTTTGTAAATCGTATTTTGGTCGATTTGCAGGCCAATCAAAATCAAATTTGTCGGCTTAACAAATAAGACTTTTTGACTCACAGTATTTTTCCTCCTGCGTGAATTTCTTTGGGAATAAAAAATAAGATTACCTAAAACTTTGGGCGACATTTTTTTACCTTTTATGAGTTACGGTTTTTCCTAGATCTATTCCAGCTTCATCTGATCGGACAGGGGGAGGAGGTGGGGCGGGGTTGGGGAAAGTGGGAGGGGACGAGAGCGGAGGGAGTTTTTTATGCGTTTTGTGCTGTGTAACAGCAGTACAAAACGCATATTGTTACGGAGTTGTCTGTTTGTGTGTT